AATGATAATTCCATATTTAACTCGGGTCCTAGTCATCACAGGATGTGACAAATATCCGTAAGACTTATAGAAATATAATCTCATTAATATTTCAAGTTTCAGATATCCTAAAGAGATACAGTTTAAATAGTTGTATTCCAATTGCAATGCTTCCTCTATTAGCTTGTCTGTGCCACTTGTATGACATATATTGTGTTACTCCTTTCACCATTTGTATTGTTACACTCTCCCCTCCTTAAAAAGTCATTGTCCTCAATAACCTCAAAAAATTTTTTTGGCCATTTTGACATAATTAAGTGGAGATGTGGCTTATATAGCATTGTGCAGCTAGTGTATAGGCATATCCTATGGTAAGTGACGTCGGCTTCTGTGGCCTGTGGCTTTGTGTGGCATCGTTCGTGTTATATTATACAGCGTTTATGCTATCCTGGCAGCATTTCACTTTGTGTTCTACCTGTATTATACTTTTATGCTTTGCGATGTGACCTATATTGTGGCGTATCTGTGTGGCTTGTTGCAGCGGCGGTTGTGATAGTACTTCCTGCAGCGGGAATAGTGCGGCACACTGTGGTTGGTGGCAGCATCGATTTCAGCAGCGTTTTGTGTATAATCAACTGTAGCGTCGTATACTAGCTTATGGCGGCTAATTATATTGTGGCGGAGGCAGTGGCTTGTATTGTGGCATTATTACGGTGTGTTATACGGTATCATATGACAACACCAGGGTGGCCCCCAAAAGTTCGGGTCCCGTGACAAAAAACGCTACAGCCCAGCATCTCCTGTCCATCACGGAAACCGAAATTCTGGCCATTACAAATATACGATAATCTGATTTTATTTCAAGTTATTTAATTACATATATTTTTATCAAACTATACTTTGTTGCTAGCTATCTATGTTTCTTTTATTCTATTACATAGATATATATTTTTTTGTTATGAATTTGACTCTAATTTTTCAAAACAGATTTGCTTAAATACCCCTTCAAATAAAAACCTATTCGACTTAACATAAGCATAAGTATTCTCTAATTTATTAGCATTAGAAAGAATAGTTAATGACATAGGTAAAGAATTTACATTATTTTCAAGATTTTTTATAATGAGAAAAGGTGGTGTAGTACAACGCTCAAAATTATTTCTAAGTAGGCATCGTTGTTTTTCATTAGGCATATTTATAACCTGTCGGATCAAGTGTTTACACATTAGAAAACGACTTCCAATAAAAAAAGAACAGCAACAAATCCATTGAGAAACTTCAGTAAAATATAAATTAGTTGATCCAGTTACTCCTATAGTAATATGTTTTCTCTTTTTTGTAATATGTCTATTAATATATATTTTTTCCCATTGTTCATTAGTTGCACCTATATAAATACATTCTTTTTTAAAGTTTATTCATCATGATAGTTTTATCATATCAGCTAGAATTTGTGAAAATCAATCTATTTGTGCTGGTATTATTTCATTAAAAAGTGTCCAAAACAATAGATCCAACCTAGGATTATTAAAATGATATAGATAACGTCATTTAATAACACTCCAATGGGCTTCAATTTTCATCATAGTCTTGCTTAAGGGTATTGTTGGTTTGGTTGATCGTGCTCACAAGTACCATTGATTAGGTGAATACCAGTTTGTCCATAAATATGTCCATAATAATCGCAATTCATTCATAAAGCAAAATTGATATATTTCTCTTACGGCAGATTGTCTAATTTCTTCTGGAGTTATAAAATCTCTCCAAGTATTAAAAGGTATAAGCAGATACATATCAAAGTGTTTTTGTACCAAAATTAATACTTGTTCTTGATGCTCCATTGGACAAATTGTATATGTTTGTGGATTTCGATCATTTTCTGTTGGATAAAAGGTAGAATTAATGAAATCAAATTCGTTTGTTGCCTGATTAACATTATATGTTACAGATATTAGTTCTGTATTTTTTGATGTTTTGGTTTTTCCTTTTAACTTTAATTTTATTGCTCTATTCATATGCCAGGCACAAAGTTGTATTATCAATGGCCCCATACCTTGGATGCTGCATTAATTTCTGCAAAATCCTTATCTGTAAACACAAAATCTGGATTGATATTATGTTTATTCAAGGTTTCTAAAAAGATTTCCAAAATTTCTTAACGCTTTCCTTTACTGGCATTTGTATTCATAGCTTTTGTTGTATCAACAATTAGATAAGCAATTGGAAATCCAGCACCTATAATATTGATTACTACACCATAAAGCTCATAACATCCTTGTGTTGTTTTATATGTTGCACCTATATATATTTCACTAATTTTAATATCTCTATTTTTAATTTCATTTAATAATGATATAGTAAAGCTAATTGCTGTAGACGAGGAATCTTGTATATATAAGCATTGATGGAAATCCAGATTACTGTGTTCTTCAAGTAATAAGCATGCAGATTCAACATGGTTATTATGACGTTGAAATATACTTCGACATGCTACAGATTTCCAGTAATAAATGCGTTTGTGAGAGTATTCTGAAATATCAAATTCTTTACATCGTAAATGAGTTATTAATCCAGTCGTAGTAAGGTGTACATATGCTTTAATATCTTTTTGTAATTCTTTGGACATTTTAATACAAAGATCTGGATGTGGATGTAGAAATCCATAATAGATATTTACTAAAACAGTATTAAGCGCCATATCGACTTGTGCTATAATCTTGCCTTTACAATCATAGCGTATGCGTCATATGCAATTGGAGTCTTTATATACATCATTCTGAGCTTCTTTTGATTAACAACATACATAGGTAAATTCATCAACTGTGTTACTAAATTTTTTTGACAAGTTCGCTTTTTGATAACTATTATAATAGATCTATTAGTGAAAAAAATAATTTAATATTAAAGTATATCTTATAATAGAATGATACTTACTTCCATGAATAGTCATCTCTGCTTTCGATTTCGGCAATAACAAGATCAGCAACTTCTTTTGCTGTCATATCTTGAATATTTATATTAATATGCACTAATAAACGTGTTTGGTAGGCTGTATTAGCTTCTAACTCTTGGATTTCATGCTCAACAAAGTCTCCTACTTTGATAATGCTGACTTCAACACATTCTACATTATTAATATCACTAGTCCAAATTGGGTTATTCGACTGCTGAATTACAGCCGATTAAATCCAAATTTATTAATAAAAGTTTATATCGAAGTTTTGTTGTTTGGTCCAATTTATGCCA